TGAGTTTTTAACGATTTTAACGTCTATTTGTTTCTTTTATTTGAGGAAACTTGTTAGGCTGTACGTTAATGATTTATTCATTTTATAAATGAAATAGAAATAACAATTATATTTACTTTAATGACAGTAGAAAACTGATTGTACACGAATAAAATAAACACAAGTTATTTGTTGAAATAACTGTAGTGACGAGACACGATAATGAACACTGATTAGTCAAAATTCTGCTAATAAGCATATAAATATCAAATATAATTTTAGTGGGGGTAAGGCATTTTTGCAAATAAAATATAATTATAGGTAGACTATAATAGTTAATGATCCTCTATAACCATGTTACGTTAATAATCTTATCTTTTATATAAAAAATAAAATAAAATTGTTAAGAGGGGGTCCTCTACATTTCTTCCCACTATTATTTCAGATCGTGAAAAATAACCACTCCAAAAGTGCAACAAGGAAAACTTTAAGTGTTTAATCTCTTCCTAAATTTTGAGGGAGGGATGAGTGGTGTAGATCGCAATCAAATGTGCAACCGCCACGTGTNGGAGGGATGAGTGGTGTAGATCGCAATCAAATGTGCAACCGCCACGTGTCCGAACGGGAGCGTGGGAATGAACTCGGTTGAGTGAGGGGACATCTCTAAATTTGAAGGAGAATTTTGGTCAAGTTTTTCAATAACAGCTGTAAATTTAGGAACATAACATAAGATTAGGTAAATTATTGTATGTTTTGCATAGTTGCGGTTTGAGGATAAAGTTAAAGAAAAGTAAATTTTTACATAAAATCAATTGAGTATTTGGGTGATAGAATAAATGCAAAAGGTTTACATACGTTAATAAAACACATTGATGTAATCCGAAACGCAGCCTTTCCAAAAATACAAACAGACATTAAAATATATTTTAGGTTTAGTAACGTATTAAATAAAATTTATTCCAAACGCACCTTAAATATTAAAACTACTATACACGCTTCTACGCAATAGTATAAAATGGCACAGGTCATCAAATTGTGACGATGCATATAAAAAAAATTTAAAAATTCTTATATCAAGGCACACATTATCACATTTTGATCAAAAATGACCATTTAAACTAATAGTAGACTCTTCTTTGTATGTACTAGGTGCAGTTTTATCACATGTGTATCCTGATAATTCTGAAAATCTAGTAGCTTCAGTTTCACGAATACTGTCTGATGCCGAGTGTAAGTTTCCACAAATAGAAAAAAAAGGACTAGCTATAATATTCGGTATTCAAAAATTCTATGATTTTCTCTATGCAAAAAAATTTACTTTAATTAGTGATTATAAACCATTAATACACTTATTCGGAGATAAAAAAGGTATTTCAATATACGCAGAAAATCGTTTACAACGATGGGCATATTTTTTATCATTATTTGATTTTGACATTAAGTACATTAATTTGGAAAAAATAAAGCTGAATTTCTTTCGAGAATCAAAATCGATCATCCTAATAGCAATAATGGGGACAATGACGATAGCACTCATTTAAATTTTATTCATGAAAATTCACCGTTCCCATTAGACTGGTCTAAAATTAAAATTGAAATATATAAAGGACGGTGTGGTCGAGTCGGTAACTCGGCGCATGGCGCGCACTGCATCGGGTTCGAAATACGGTAATGGGCGGCTTCATTTGCCGAACAGATCGTTCGGAGCATAAATGTTTAAGATAACTTCATCCTTTGGGAGAGGCCGCTATGATCCTTAATGGAGCCGATAAAAGCATTGAAAAAATAAATAAATAAATAAAGATCAAATTATGTCAAGAGTCCTATAAGCAACAAAAATAATTGAATGGAGTGACGATTTTACACTTAACAGCGAGTTAAAACCGTATGTCACTTGCAAAAATGAAATATCTTTGGAACAAGGGTGTTTATCGTGTGAAAATTCCGTAAAAATTTCAAAAAAATATCCTAGCTGAACTACACTCGTGTCACATAGGTTTGACCAGTATGATCTTAGAACGATCATATTTTTAGTGCCCAACAATTGACAAGGACTTTGAAAATATGGTTCGTGATTGTCATGAATGTACAAACGCTAGGCCAAATCTACCGAAATCAACAATTACTCCGTGGAGATGACCTCAAAGGCTATGGACTAGGGTGCATTGTGATTATTTAGGGCCGCAAAAAAATAAATTTTTTTTGATATTTGTAGTCGTAACTTCATAATGGTTAGAGGCATTTCCGGTTAATTGCATGAATGCGCAAACTGTTATTACAAAATTTTCAGAATTAATCGTTCGTTTTGGAATTCACGTAGAATAACAATAGACGGGGCGAAATGTTTTAGCGGCATTGAATTTTAAAACTGCTGTAAAAAAGTAGATATTAGACATTTAATGGCTGCATCATTACATCCTGCATCAAATGGTTGCGCTGAATCTGGTGTCAAAATGATTAAACAATTCTTGAGAAAAAAATAATCATTATCTATAAACCAGTTAAACAAATTTTTGCTGATGCATAGAAACATACCGCATTCAACACACGAGACGCCGGCTATGTTAATGTTAGGGCATTCGGATAAAACAATATTTGATTTACTAATACCTAGTACTAATTAGGTAGTAGAAGATAGTCTAATTTCTCAAATAAAATATGGGGGGAATAGAAACATAAACGTAAAAGTGGGTGCTTGTGTACTTATAAAAGATTATAGAAACATGAGAGAAAACTGTCAAAAAGCTACTGTCACTAAAAACATAAGTGACAAAATACACAAATTTACGTTTAATCAAAGTCCCACATGGACAAGACACGACGACCAAATTTGGCCATTAAACAAAACAAGTGGCTCGTTATCCCACGTAGGTGAAAATACAAACATAGACAACAATGACCACACAGAATCAACCGTACCGCTTTGTAATAAATCTCCCCAACTTGTTAAAATTAAAAAATCTATTCAGCATTTCTCTCCATCTGACTACAAATGATAACAACTAATTTTACATTATGTAAACACCTCAGTCTATAAGAATGAACATCTTATCTGGTTATAAACGGTAAACTATAAGCTAAATTTTACTTCCTCATTAAATTTCAATATTTATTTATATGTTAGTAATTACTTAAGTGTATTATAATTTCATAAGGAAAAAGGTGTTACGTATCGATAAATATTTTATAAATTCGTAGTGAGGATTGTCCACTACTCGCGAGTGCGATCACCGGCACTCGCACCATTAACAATTATATTGTTTCTCAATAAATACTTATTTTCTGTTTAACTATATAATTTTGACTTTCATATTAAAAACACAATAGAAACCCCTATTTTTAGTTTGAAAATAACGTCATCTAATCTTGTTGATATGTACCTACCAATATCGTTGTACTTGGTTAAGTAAATGATTATCTGATTGTATGTTAACAATAAATACTCTGATCTCTCTACTTATTACTATGACTTTTGATTTATTTATATTGATACTCATAAGGTATCTATTTAAGATTTCATTAAATGTAGTAGGTGATTTTTGCATATCTTTCAATGAAATTGTTTCCATATCAATATTATCAGAAAATCAAATGCAATGTAATATTATAGAAAAAAATATGCGATTAACGTATTTTAAAACCGTGAAAACTATTTAAAGAAAAAAAAACAGAATATTCGCTGAATCCGAAAGTTATTAAAGACGTCAGAACCTGATGACTTTTGTACTCTTTTAAATACAAAAGAAAAATCTTTATCTTGCCCAACAAATAATTATCTATGTTTTTGTTATAAACATGGGTAATTTGAATATTTTATTATTATTAATACTTCCCTAAAGCACAGTTTGATTTTATTTTAACATGATAAAATATAAGTAAAAATTTTTATTAGCATTAATAATTTTTATTAAATCAAATAAATGTTCCTATTAATATCGATTTAACTATTATTTTCAACTTGTATGTGAACAGTGTAACTAAAAATACAATTGTTTGAAAAGTATACTTTAATATTTACTAAAAATGATCTTTTTATATTTAAAAATATAAAATAATATTTATCATGTTGGCGATTGTATATTTATACACCAAAGTAACCGACAAATTGTCATTAATTTTTTAGAATTTAACACTTGGAGTAAAAATGAAGGTGAGTAATACACCTTACTTGGAGTGAGCTTTATTGAAATCTAATAGATTATTTTATTTTATTGTAGAACTTGCAAAAGATACATGCTTTGTTCATTACGTCCTGTTTGATAATAAATGAAGGTAAATTCTTTTTTAAATTATTATCTATTAATTGTAGTTGATGTATTTTTTTTGAAAGCGATGCATTAAGAATTGCTTAATATTAGCTACNATTAATTGTAGTTGATGTATTTTTTTTGAAAGCGATGCATTAAGAATTGCTTAATATTAGCTACGAAGCTACTCTCCTAGTTATAAAGGGTGATCGATTAAGGATAAGATTTTAATTAATTTTTTTTTTTTAATTTTGTATATTTTCCCATGTTATTCTCTTTGTCAAGAAAAACAAATTTGAAATTTTGAACTGCCTTAAATTGCTCTTATAATAATTTTCCAACAAGCGTTATTATCGACCCGGTAAAAGTCTCACATATGTCATCCAATGTTAAGAGAAATTTTATCTAAATAATTGTACAAATAAATATTTAATCGAATAAAAATCCACAATTTTTCAGTAATTTTTTGTGGCTTATTGAGTTAAATATTTTTAATATTTTTTAGTTTTAAATTAATAATTTTAATTTTATTTAATTTTTAAGTAAAAAAAAAAATATATTAAATGTATTTAAATAAATAATTATGAGATATAATATAAAACACAACTAAAATTTTAAACATTTGAACGATTTAAATTAATCAATGCTTTTGAGTTTGAATATTACTATATCAATTTTTTAATTACTTTATATAAATGTTAATTAAATTAAATATTATTTCATAAATCTACTTTGTTGTCATCTATAAACATAAATTAAATACAGTTGCAAACAGTGTGTTTCAATGCACTAGTTCTATTTTGTAATTACTAACAAAAGTTAATTTACTAGTTATTCTTAAAAAAAAAATAAATAATACTAAAAAAAATTATTAAAATAATAATTATTTAAATTGATTTAAAAATAAATTGTATAATTTATAATATTGATAATTATTTAGAATTATTTGAATTCACATGAAGAATGATATAAACAAAAATTTAATTCAGATTTATTACAGACAATTTTTTATATATAGTAATTTTATAATTTATTTTTAATAATTTTGTAATAAATTATGTTAAAATTCATTAACATAATGTTATTTAAATATTTTAATACTCCTTTTCATTATAAAATGTATGAGTTCAATATTTTTATGAGAAGGAGTAGTTATATAATTTATTGATACTATACATAGGGTGATTTATTTATCTTTGACCACTAAATGTCTCCTAAAATAATAATAACTTAAATTATTTATAAAAATTTTATTTAGTATTATTTACTTATTGATTTATAAGTAGTTAAACACTTTTTAGGTTTATCATTTATCTCTTATAAAGGCATTAACTTTTTAATTGCAACATTTATAAATGCTATAACATAGGAAACCATATGTTTCTTGTAAACTTAGTATAGAGTATCATCATATTGGTGTAACAATTGTTTCAATATTAGATTATTAGAAAAAAGTTTTGATAATATATTGAACAATTTAACTGTGGATATAAATGAGTCATTAGAATGGTTTGATATCTTTATTTTCGTCTGAAAAACCCGGATAATATAAAGTTAATTTTTATACAGATGAAAATTAATTCAAATAAATTTTTTAACTCAACTGTATTCATCTAATATACACCGATACTATAGAAAAAATTATATTAACATAAGTAACTCGATTAAATGATCCATAGAATTCAAATAATATAACATTAAGAGTATTTTAGGTCTATTAAATTACAAAAATACTTGGACTCTTCTGTATTTTCTACAATATATTATAAAATCATAATTTGAGCTTTTATTAAAGTCCCAAATTTAAATTTAACAATTTCTTTAAAAATTATAAAATGTAATTCAAATGTCTTTCCTAGTTATCTAGATAATACTCCAAAATTAGTTAATAATTTTGTTCATTTAGCAATTCAATTTAAAAATTCAGACGACGAACAAATATGTCAATTTGAAGAAAATACGACGAGAACAGCAGAAAATAGATATTTAGAAAACTTAAAAAATGCTTATGAAAATGGATGTAAATGGCATGAAAACGTAGCAATAGCTTATGCTTCTAATGGGTATTTAGAATGTTTAAAATATGCTCATCAAAAAGGATGTCCGTGGGATGAAAGCACACCAGAAGCAGCTGCAACATATGGTCATTTAGAATGCTTAAAATATGCCTTTGAAAATGACTGTAAATGGGATGAACGTACAACTACTGCGGCTGCCAAAAGAGGTGATTTAAGAATTTTAAAATATGCACATGAAAAGGAATGTCCATGGGATGAAAGCACAACAGAAGCAGCTGCTTCTAACAATAATTTTGAATGTTTAAAATATGCTTATGAAAATGGCTGTAAATGGAATGAATTAAATATTGCAAAAAAATCTATTTCAAATGGCAATCTAGAAATATTAAAATATTTGCACGAAAATGGATACAAATTCAATGAATTCACAATTTTTATGGCTGCCGTAAAAGATGATCTAGAAATTTTAAAATATGTCCTTGAAAATGGATATCCTTGCAATATGAGTTCAACTTACATAGTTGCCACAAATGGTAATCTTGAAAATTTTAAATATTTACATGAAAATGCATGTCCATGGGATGAAACCACAACTAAATTAGCTGCCTATAATGGTCATTTAAGTATCTTAAAATATGCACATGAAAATGAATGTCCGTGGGATGAAAGCACAACAGAAGCAGCTGCAACCAATGGTCATTTAGAATGTTTAAAATATGCTTTTGAAAATGACTGTAAATGGGATGAACGTACAACTACTGCGGCTGCTAAAAGAGGTGATATAAAAATTTTAAAATATGCTCATCAAAAAGGATGTCCGTGGGATGAAAGCACAACAGAAGCAGCTGCAACCAATGGTCATTTAGAATGTTTAAAATATGCTTTTGAAAATGACTGTAAATGGGATGAACGTACAACTACTGCGGCTGCTAAAAGAGGTGATATAAAAATTTTAAAATATGCTCATCAAAAAGGATGTCCGTGGGATGAAAGCACAACAGAAGCAGCTGCAACCAATGGTCATTTAGAATGTTTAAAATATGCTTTTAAAAATGACTGTAAATGGGATGAACGTACAACTACTGCGGCTGCCAAAAGAGGTGATATAAAAATTTTAAAATATGCACATGAAAAGGAATGTCCGTGGGATGAAAGCACAACAGAAGCAGCTGCTTCAAGCGGTAATTTAGAATGCTTAAAATATGCATTTGAAAATGGCTGTAAATGGAATCAAAATATCATGAGAAGTGCTATTGTAAAGGGTAATCTAGATATTATAAAATATATTCACAAAAATGGAAGTATGTTTGGTGTAGGATCAATTCGAGATGCTGCAGCAAGTGGTTGTATTGATTGTTTAAAATATATACATAAAAATGTTGGTAAATGGGATGAGGGTACAACAAGAGTTGCTGCGGCAAGTGGTTGCATCGAATGTTTAAAATATGCCCACGAAAATGGATGTGTATGGGATGAGGGTACAACTAGAGCTGCTGCAGCAAGTAGTTGTTTCAAATGTTTGAAATATGCCTACGAAAATGGATGTGTTTGGGATGAGGGTACAACTAGAGCTGCTGCAGCAAGTAACTGTTTAAATTGCTTGGTATATGCTCATGCTATGAAATGTAATTGGGATGAAGATACAATGGCTGCAGCAGCTGTGCATGGTAATTTATATTGCTTAGCATATGCTCGTAGACATGGTTGTGATTGGGTTGAAGGTACTATGAGAGGGGCTGCAGCAAATGGACATTTAAACTGTCTAAAATATGCTCACGAAAATGGGTGTCCGTGGGATGAAGGCACAACAAGGGAAGCTGCTGCGAGTAATTATATTAACTGTTTGATATTTGCACATAAAAATGGGTGTCAATGGGATGAAGGAACTAAGGGTGTAACTGTTGCAAATGGCAATTTAGGCTGTTTAATATATGCTCACAATAATGGTTGTAAATGGGACGAAAGCACAACAAGACTTGCTGCTGCAAATAATCAATTGTTATGCTTAGAATATGCGCATGAAAATAATTGTCCATGGAGTAGTGGTACCATTTCTGAAGCGACTCGAAATGGTCATACTGATATAATTAACTATGCTACCGAAAATGGATGTCCTAATTAATTTCCTGTTTAAATATCATAATTTTTATTATATTTATTTATGTTAACAAATTTTATTTTTAAAATAAAATAACCGGAATGGTTTTATCCAATATTTATATTGTATCTAAATGAAATCAAAAAAAAATTTTGAAAGTATTACAATATGTTATACTAATAATAATAATTAATGATAATGATTATAATAATAAAATATTATGAAGTATCAAATAAAGTTATATCAATAACTTTTTTTTAGTATTTTGATTATAATAATAGTTTATGTGGTACTTAAGTTAAATTTTTTTTATTCTCTTATGAATTTATAGAAATTGTAATGCTCTTTTTGTAGCCTAAGTCCAGTATCACATTGTGACAATTATTAATACTCAAGAATACTAATTTTTAGACTTAGTTTAGGGGCTCTCTTTTATTTTCCACAAATCAAGCATTAGTTAAATAAATAAAATTTTGTACCTCGAATTCATCAGAATTAATTAACTCCTTCACCCGTCGATATATTGTTTAAAAATTAAAGTATATCTACTTATCTTAAATAAAACAAACAGTAGAAATATGTTCTTTTAAACAAATGAATTTAAATTTCAAATAAATTGTTTTAGCTTCGATGCGTAGCTGAGAAGTTATTAATTTTACCATGATGTGTTTTTTTCTATTTTTATGTCTGTTACCACTTTTTCTCAGCTCTCACCGAACCGATTTCTTTCAATGATACGTTAAAAGATCACAAATCGTATCTAGTTGAAGACATTAGACTTAAAAATTGAAAAATTTTCCCTTGTACCCCACAAATGGGGGAAATCTTAAAAAAAATTACAATTTTTAAAATCGGTAAATTTTGCCATTTTTTTCAGTTTTTTTTTCTTAAAACTTCCATAACTTTTTCAAAAATAAACAAATCAACATAATTTTTTTTATATTAAAACCCTAGATATTATCCTTTAATTTTATATCATTTTTTTGAAAATTTAACACTTAATCTGCTCACGGGGAGGGAGGGATTTAAAATAGCAACTTTTTTACAAAAACTCACTTTTTCAATTTAACTTTTGAAAAATTTCCGGAAATACTGCGTCTTTTAAACATATACCAAAAGAAAGCTTATGTTATGTACTATAAAATGAAAAAAAAAAGTTTCTCCCGACACTTTATCTTCTGCATGCAAACGGCTGCCGTAGTTAAAAAAATGATATTTTTGTGTTAAAATTGTCGATTTTCGATTTTAAATTTTCAACTTTATACTTGAGTAAAATATACAACTTTTCAATTAAATGCATATAATCCATTTGGTTATATGTGACTGATACAAATAAGATCATAATTGATAAGCGACAATCTAACAAAATGTTTATTATTTTTGTAAAAACTTCAATATTTTATTCCGTGACAACTTATCTTATAGTAATAATAACCAAACATTTTGATCATAGGATCAAAGATTACGCCATGAAAATATTTTTTCAACATTATAAAAATATATCTATGCTTTTACCGCACTATATCGCATAGCTTCAATCCGGTAGCGCTTATCAATTATTGACTCTATAACCTAGCGTCTCTTATAATCATGTAAATTTTTTCATAGTATACTCTAAAGTTTAGGGCCTAAACTTTAGAGAGCCTAGAGCACATAGAATGAATTTTCTAAATAATAAAAATTTCTTTTTTATTAAACCAAATCTAATGGTATAGAAAAAAAATAGGGTTGCCATTTGAAAATCTGAAGTTGATACTTCAATCTATTTTTATAAAAAATTAGATGGATTATACATATAATTTTATTTGTTAAACGCATAAATTAGAATATTAGTTGTGATTATTCAATTTGATTTTTATAATAAAAGCAAATACCTAATGTAGAGAAGATGCAGTTTTAAAAAAGAACTATATAAGTCTTACTCTTCTTCTTCTTAGAGTAAACGGCCACTATGGCTATTACGTCAAACACCCCTCCCTCCAACCATCTCTGTCGGATGCTCGTTCCATCCAATTTGATCGTCCACTTAAAATACTTACATCTTTTTTAACTAGATCCTCCCATCTCATACGAGATCTCCCCAAGGGCATCTTCCCTGTTAGATCCTTTTCTAATACCATACGTAGCAAGGGATTCTGGCTACGCCAAGCATGTCCAGCCCACTTAAGTGTTTTACTCCTTATTGTCTCCACTATATTCGGCTTATGGAAAAGTACGAGTAGTTCTAGCTCATTATTTATTCTTATCCTCCAATCATTGCTATTGATATCTTTCATAGGTTCATAAATCTTCCTTAGAACACTTCTCTCTCATACTATCAGCTTTCTTTCATCTTCTTTTCGTAGTGGCCACGTTTCTACTTTGTAAGTTATAACTGGACGTAGTAATGTCATATATAGCTTAAGTTCTCTCGATTAGGCTCTAGATCCAAGCATTTTTGTCATATGTATACATTAGGGTGAATTAAAAAAAGGTGGTCTTTGAAATTTTAATGAGAACCATTTAAAATTTATTTTATATAATAAAATAGGTACTTTGTGAAAATTTGAGATTTTTAATAAAATTTTTACTGGTGGTCTCAAGTATCTTAAAATTTTCTTTATGCAGTTTGGCTGATATTTATGTATATTATAAGTAGAAAAAAAATTCTTCACTAATCTTAAAAACTTATACTTTTTTTGTAATTAATGCATAAGCTAAAATATACGATATTCATGAAAATATGAATAACTGACGATTGTCTTTACATACTTTTCAAATATTTTTTTTTAATTAAACAATTAATTTGTTATTAAATATAATACAATAAGAAGGTAAGTTTCATTTTTTTGGTGATATTAAAACTAACTTTCTACAGTCTGGCTAATCATTGCGATGCTCTTCTACAACTTGTAGTAAATATTGTCTTTGATCCTCGTCAATTGTTATGCAATTATTTAAATTGCGTTATTAAAGCTTTCCCTCTTTCTGTTGGATAATTTATTACAAATAAGGATTCAACATTAGTTTTTGAGATATCAATAAAACTCAAAATAATTTTTTTCTTTTTCATAATTTTTGTTATATTCATTTATAATTTTAATTAAATTTATATTGATGTATAATTTTTGCATAATACAAACCAATATTTTTATATTATTTATTACATTGAATAAAAAATGAATTGTTTAATTAAAAAAAAAAATATTTGAAAAGTATGTAAAGATATTCGTCAGTTGTTCATATTTTCAAGAATATCGAATATCTTAGCTTATGCATTAATTACAAAAAAAGTATAAGTTTTTAAGATTAGTGAAGAATTTTTTTTCTGCTTATAATATTAATAAATATCACCCAAACTGCATAAAAAAAAATTTTGTTAAAAATTTAAGCTTACTTGAGACCTACTAAAAATATACCATATAATGACTTTAATTATGATATCTACGCTATCAATTTTTAATTTAATATTTTGAAGCTAGAAAATTTGTATTCTACAGTAAAAATCAAACTGTTTTGATGTCCTAATCATAATATTTAACTAAAAATTAAATAACAGAGGTAATTTTTTTGTATTTTGGATTTTTAGTAAAAATACTAAAAAGACGTTGAGCCACCAGTAAAATTTTTTAAAAAAAAAACAAATTTTCACAAAATGCCTATTTTAATGTTTAAAATAAATTTAAAATGGTTCTCATTAAATTTTCGAAGAACGACATTTTTTGATCCATCCTAATACACAATCACCCCATAAAACATAATATAAAATCTATATATAAAATAAAATCACAAAAAAAATATTTATAACATGATAGGTGGTATTTGAACGCGCCTATCATGTTAAGGGACCTAAATAAAAAAAAATAGGGACACCTACAAAAAAAATTTAATAATAAAAATAAATTCATCACACGTGCTAATGGCACGACGTACTAAAAAAATATGGCTCAAAACATTCTAAAAAATATAGACATTACCAGCCCCGAAGGGCTAAAGAAAACTGAAGGCAGGTTTAGTCGACGCCAAAATACAAAAAGATTTACATAATATTATAGTAGCTGACACTCACGAATAATACAGTAAAAAGAACACAAATTGTTGCAACGCACTCAACAAAACAGAAATTCACGCTACGGACGAAAATTAGCGTACCAGTTCCGACGATGGCTAATTTCCGACAATACGTCCGTCGTTTGACACACCGGTCCGTTGGCGACAACACGGCTAGCATTTAAGCGAGCCATACACTAAGCATTTTGAACGACATTCTTCTTGATTGATAGTCAAGACTGACGGTGTATTGGTAAGAATGATGTAGATTGACAATCAAATTTTTTGACTGATGAATTTCAGTCTTGTTTGATGTTTTGAAGTCATTCGAGTAGATTGCCACTCCTGAAT